AACGTTGGAGGTGACGACAGTCGGAGAGAGAGAGAGAGAGAGAGAGAGAGAGAGAGAGAGAGAGAGAGAACAATAGCGAGCGGTTTCCATAAACCAGGACTTGCTTGATGTTCTTTAATTGATTTTTGTCTTCTTATCTATTAAATAAAGTTAATGTACCTTTGTTCTATAACAGCAAGTCATTAAGAAAAAACTGGGTGTTGTTTGTCAACTGCTTAAGCTGCGAAATCTCCTGATTTGTAATAATAGCGAGGTATTTCCATCTGTTTACCAGTTTGTAGACACTATAGGGTGGACACCTACAGTGGTAATATGCATTACTTTCTAGTTATATGAAGAAGTGTTTCTCAAACTTTTGGAGCCATGGCCAATATTTCACATTAGAAAAATCACACAGCACACAACCAAACAAAATGTTGCAAAAAGCATATTGATAATTTTCCCTTGAGAATCCGTGGTGGAAATGATTCAGTGTGTCCCCAGCAGAGATGGGCAGTAACGCGTTACTGTAATCTGATTACTTTTTTCAAGTAACGAGTAAAGTAAGGGATTACTATTGCAAAAACGGTAATTAGATTACCGTTACTTTCCCGTAGGAACGCTGCGTTACTGCGTTACTAAAACCGTGATTTTTTTGCGAGAATGTCTCACGACAGTGACGTAAGCCAGTGCGCCTTTAGTGACAACAGCTGTGTGCAGATCAACAATGGATCATATATCGATTGTGGGAGAGAGTATGAGCATGCAGCGTTTAAAACGTGGAAGTACTGACCTTACTTTGAGTTTGATTCCATAAAAAGTGACAAAAACATTAGCGTCTGTTGTGCGTGGGAAGAAAACTTCTTTTTACAGCGAAAAAACCCCCTAAACTTCCAAGCAAGCACCGAGTGCGCAACGATGTAATGGGAAATTCACAGAGAAACTCGCGGATTCTTCAACTGACCGCAGCACACCTGCACCAGGGTAAACCTCTGCCTATGCCACTCCTGCTTTACAGGTGAAAATAGAGCAAAAGGACCGCTGAGTCTTTGACTTTATTTATTTTCTGCTGTGTTTTACTTGCATCTATTTGAAAGACTGAGTGTAAACACAAAAAATATTTTATTTTATGTGCTGGAATGTGCAGAAAATAGGTTTAAATGTTAAACTAATTTATTCAAGTCAGAGAATGTTGCATATAATTAAATTTTTGCTTGATGCATAAAGTTTAAAGATTAAAACTAATAAAACAAGTAAAAAAAAGAGACTTTTCCATTTGATTACATTTTGTATGATGGATTATGCAGAAAAAGTAGAATTGGGCTGAAAGATCTATCGCTTTATCGCCTCTTCAGGTTGTAAATCGTGTTTTTAAAAAGGAACTAAGTAACTAAGTAATTAATTATTTTTGAAAATAAGTAATCAGTAAAGTAACGGGATTACTTTTTTGGGGAAGTAATCAGTAATTAGTTACTGATTACTTTTTTCAAGTAACTTGACCAACACTGGTCCCCAGTATACCTTTTTTGCCTCGTTCTGACCACTAGTCATGTTATGGCCTTCATCTTGGTCAGAATTTTCCCCAGGACCCAGGTCAGACTGACCACTTTTTCTTATCAAATATTCATCTATTGCTATTACGCCCTGCGTGGTCTCACAGCATGACTATTATGTAATTTCTTCTTCCTGTCCTTCTATTTTACTGGGAGTTGGCAACCTATTTAATTACTGCCCTCTAGTGGAAGAGAAAGTAATTGTTCTGCCTGTTACTCATGCCCATTGCTTAGAGTACTAATCAGGTGGAACCAGACGATCTTCCAGGGCACACCTAATCATTTCTCCAGTGGCTGGCAAACACTGATATTGTCACGGAAAACGGGGTGAGCCGTGTGGAGGCATAAATGAGGACCCAAGAGCAGGCATTCGCTGAGATGCGAACGAGGTTTATTGCAACATAAAACACAAGGAGAAAATGGCAAAACGGAACTAAAGATAAACTACACTGGGAGAAACTAAACTACAAAACAGCAGAGCAGAACATGGAGGAAGGTGGGCGAAGGCACATGAAGGTTGACAGCAGGGCAAACACACAGTAGATACACAGACGGACCAGCAAACAGCACACAAGTAGACACAACTTAAATACACACTGAAGAACACAGGGCGATTACACACATGTGGGAAACACAGCTGGACCTGATGAGCGTGATGAGACGAGGGGGAAGCAAAACTAAATACAATGACGTAAGACATGGACCTTCAAAGTAAAACAGGAAACAGTTCAGAAAGACGACGGCGTGACACTGAACTAAAGCTACACTAAACACGAAGGCACAAAACACAAACCCTAAGAACAAACCCTAAACCAGAATAAACTGAAACATAGAATTATAATATTCAAAACACGATAACTAAACAATCAGAACATAAATAATATCACAGATAAATACCAAAATACAACAAACTGAAAATGCTGGGTCAAATGACCCAGGACCGTGACAGATATAAAGATTAATGTTTACATTGAAGTATTGGACAAATCTGTTGACCTGTATTATTTCATCCAGAACATCCCGAACACCACTACAACAACCTCCTTCTCTCTGAGACTGTCTGCTGCAGCCTTACAACTTAAGGTAATTAAATCTTTACTCTCAGCATTTCTTGTGTAAGGATTGTGAAAGATAATTGTTTTGTTTTTTAATTGATGTATTTGTCATTTTGCTATCTTATTGTCTTTAATGTCTTTGTTTGTTTGTTTTTTATCAACAGGTATAATAACTGAAACCATGCTGAAGGCATTTCTGTTTGGATGCTTCCTGCACTGAACATTCAGAATCTCACTACAACAACCTCCTTCTCTCTGAGACTGTCACAGTCCTGAGTTGGTGACCCAGTGTTCTGTATCTCTTTAATTTGTGTTTCTTGATTATTTGTTATTCATGGTTTTCACTGTTAGTGTTTTGGTTTCTGTCCTAGTATTTCTAGCTCCCTAGTTCAGTAGTATTTCTTGAGTTCTAGTTCTTAGGTTTTGGTATTTGGCTTCCCTGTGTCCTGTGTTGTCTACTCGGTGCCCTCCCATCCCACGTTTCACGTTCCTATGTTCTCTGTCTCCCCGGTCTCTTTGTTAAGTTTACTATCTTGTGTTCAGTCGCTATGTTTCCTGTTTTACTTTGAAGGTCCGTGTCTTATGTCATTGTATTCAGTTTTCCTTCCTCCCTGTCTCGTCATGTTCATTAGGTTGAGCCATGTCTCCCTCCTGTGTTACCTCTGCATGACGTCCCTGTATTGCCTCAGCGTTCTCTCCATCAGCTTTCCTGTGTTTCCTGGTTCCTCATCCCCTGGTTCTGGTCAATCCTCAGGTTATATGTTTATGGTTAGTTTTCCCTAGTTTAGGTTTTGTTAGTTTTCTCTGTTCCACCTGTTTGCAGTATTGATCATCCATAAATAAAGGCTCGCTTTCTGTTCAAAACATTCTCCCGCATCCATGTCTGCATTTGGGTCCCCATTCTTCTAAAATCCCACACATCTGCCTCTGCAGCTGTGACAGAGACAGTCTGCTGCAGCTGTACAAATAACATTTTTACTCTCAGTATTTTTTGTGCACGGATTGTGAAGGATAATTTTTATTTGCTTGGATGAATCTGTCGTTTTAGTTCATCTTATTGTATCTTAACTTTTTCTCAACTTATCTATTCATCTTATTGAACATCACTTTCTGTAAAATGTTCTGTAAAATGGATATTTTTCTCTCTAGAGATGACCAACAAACAACATCTCCCTGCAGCAGCTTCTCTCTGCCTTCCTACAAGCACTTGCTACAACTACTACAACAGCTGCATCCATTATAACTCCCTGAAATCATAAAGGAAACTAAAAAACCAAAGAGTGGTTTTAAGCCAGCATTGCATTTATGACGCCAGGACAATGTTGCTTGTTTTGCTTTACTTTTTCTCTTTTCTAAATTGAATCTTGACTTTTGACTTTCTGATCACTGTTGTGTTTAGTAGCTGCCAAATAAAGTTCATCAGTGAAAATCAGTTAAACTCAAAATGTATTTTGTTTGTTTGTTTGTTTTTCACAAACACCATTGTATTGTATGGTTAGGCACAAGTTTTTGTACACAGATTCTGCCATTTTTTCTCTGTACACAATCACAGGGAATTTTAAATCAAACAATTGAGATACTATTGCAGAATTGCAGACGTTCACCTTTAATGTGGGTGGGTCTTTACAAAAATATGACATCAACTGTTTAAGTATTACAAACATTTTTATCTTTAGTGCCCAATTTTGAGCAGCTCAGTACTAATTGGATAACCTGACATCATTTTATATACAAACATCATTTTTTTATGCTTTGACTGAAATACTTAAGTCTATACACCATGAACATCACAAATACTGTGTCTCCTCCCTTCAGATGTTCTTCTTGGCATTTACTACAGAGCCTTCGGTTGCTGCTTCTCTTTGGTTCTCTTTATCTTCAGTTTTGTCTTTAATAGCTGCTGTATTGCTTTGGTAAGTGGACTGATTCTTATATAGTGCATTTCTACTCTCCCTGCTTTATACAACATGCCACATTCACCCATATTAACTTTCCTAGCTAACATTCACACACGTTCATACTCCAATGGATGCATCAGAGTAACTTGGGGTTACTAACTTGAGACAAGTATTGTGCATGCAGACTGGGGAAGCCAGGGATTCAACCACTAACCTTCCTAATCAGTAGATGATCTGTGCTACCTCCTAAGCTCCAGCCACCCCTTTTTCAATGTGTTTTTGCACCGTGGCGCATTAATCAGCTGAGCAAGAGTAGAGAGTAAGACATTTTGCATTGAAAATGGTCTGCTTTCTGAAAATAAGTCAGAATTTCAAAAGATTTTTGTTTTTCTGTTAAGCCACAACACTGACCTATGAATCGTGCAAGCTTTTTTAAACTCTCTATAAGACCAAGTCATTCAAAAATAAGTGGAGATTTTCAATAATCTGTGTGAATAAATTATGAAAAACAATGATGCCGTTCAACATGGGTTTTTATTCATTGTTGGTTCATTTTCAATTCATTCTTTGTAACAGTAATAGCTGTTGGTGAAGGAGCAGCTTATCGTATAGCGGCAAGAATCGCTGCAAGGAGCGCTGGATTCTGCAGAAGTGTTGGATTCTGTAGAAGAGCTGTTATCAGGGTAAGATAACGTGTGTTAGTCCCAGTAGTCTGCAAGAAAATAAGTAATAAATATTATTACATGGGATAATGCATTCTCTGTTGAATGGCTTTCTTTGGATATGATAATATTGGAGAGTCCAGTGTGTCTAATGTTCAAACATAGAAAGACAAACATGACACTCACCCCCTCCCTAGATGAAGAACGTGCATCACGCTCGTGTGCTGAGTCAATCTGTTTAAAAAAAACAAAAAATACATGCAAATGTGTTGTTTGGATATAACAGTACAGGAACACTGATACAGTCTCTGGTGACACGATTCCACACACAGTACAAGATATAGTTATACATTTTATATTAAAACATTAATTTAGTCTTCAGTCATATTACACTTACAGGATTTGCCAGAGCAAGGCTCAGCAGGCATCCAAGCAGAAACACAACCTTGATCATGGTTTCAGTGATTCACCTGTTAACAATAATTTTGATGAGATGTGGTCAAAACCATCAGCCAAATCACCATTCCACCAACATTACATTGAAAACACAGAAGCAATAAAGGATTGATGAGAAATGTTACCGTCAGGTCTTCACAACTTCAGCAGACTGTCTCAGAGATGTGGATGATTGTGGTAATGCTGTACTGACAGTGGAGCTTTTTATACACAGTTGCAAGAGATGATTTAATCTCATTTGCGTAACTGTTGGGAAATTATAATGCTTAGTAAACATCCTCATCTTAATATAAGAGGAAACACAATTAGGCAATAATCAGGGACACACCTGAATTACACCTAATTCTTAGTAGGTATGATTTCTGTCAGAAATTATATGCCATGGTTGGTTTTGTCTAACATTCAATTGTGAAACTGTGGTGTACATTGTCCTTACTTGATATCAATTTTGGTCTGAGATACTTAAAACTAAAGGGTTAAGTACCAGTCTTCCAGTCAGCATTCAGTGATATTTTCTTTTGTCCTAGAGGTCTTGAATGTGAAGAAATGTTGTATTTTATAGAATAATACTGGGGATTTGTGGTCTGTTGTGTATGCAAGAGCTAATCTTGTTTCTGAACCACAGTGATATGAGATTTGCATGGTATGTATTCACATACAAAACTAAAATGTTTTTGTGAATGTTCCTTACGTACAATTACGTACAATTGTCTACACATAAAAATATATGAAGAATGGTCACTATGTCCTCTCTATCTTTATATCTATATAATAAATCTTTGTGTATTACCACTGCAGTTTCAATTAAAAGAATTTTTAAAAATGCAAGTGAGCATGACCATTTCTATTTATCTTCTAACATCCAGGGATCCTCATGATGTGTTTCACAGTGTCTAACAAGCTTTGTAAAGTATCTTGATGCATGCTCAATCATCCTGGTAAGGAAGTTGAAAAACTGAATCTGTCCATCTTGATGTGGCGTTTAGAGTAGGAGAGCGCAGTGTTTAGAGAAAATGCTTCTCAGCTGTTCCGATGCTCGTAACACCTAAGCAATCACTAAGGACTTTCACTTGAAAAAAAGTAGTTGTCCTACTCTCCTGTCTTGCCTTGGGCATTCTTTAATCAAATTACTGGAGTTTGAGGACATGAACTGATAACTTTCTCCTTCAGGATTTTATGGTAGAGAGAAAAGAAGTCACTACCACTGTCACAGTTTTACCACTGTCACTGTTTTAGTTTTGCACCAAAGGGACTGGCCTAATGCCTCAAACCTCTCAAAAAGGTCAACTTTTGTCTCATCAGTCCAAAGAAGATTTTACCAAAAGTTAGACGCAATAAGTCCGATACAACTTTATGAAGCTCACTTCTGTGTGATGGCAGCGACACTGCGGTGGGTTGTTGAAGATATCCTGAACTTTTGTCTTTGTAACTGCTGCTGATTTTAGCTGTTAACTGATGTTAGCCAGCATTAGTGAAACTTTCTCTGAAGTTGATGTAACAGTGTTGGACTCAGCCTCTTGACAAATAAGCTCTCATACAATGTGAGAATGTGATGAAACTGTTTATCACCGGGAAAGTGTGATATATGTAGTGTGATAGGGCACTCGAACCTAATCCTAGCAAAATTTTAGCTTATGACCTGGCTGGTTTTGTTGTTTAGTCAGCTTTTTTTTTTGGTGTGGTATAGCTCTCATTTCAAAAACACAAGCAAGGACCCACCTTTCCTGTTCTTTAATTAATAATAATAATGGACTGCATTTATATAGCCCTTTTCAAGACCCTCAAAGCACTTTACAATTCCACTATTCATTCACACAGTGATGGAGGCAAGCTACAGTTGTAGCCACAGCTGCTCTGGGGCAGACTGACAGAAGCGAGGCTGCCATATCACGCTATCAGCCCCTCTGGCCATCACCAGTAGGTGAAGTGTCTTGCCCAAGGACACAACAGCCAAGACAGACAGAGCTGGGGATCGAACCGGCAACCATCCGGTTACAAGATGAGCTTCCCCACCCCCTGAAACACGGTCACCCAAATTGAATACCTTTTAAGTTTTATGTGGACCATCTATCAAATAAACTCAAACCTATAACAGCGACTCATTTCCCAACAATCCCTGATGCTACACTGGGTGTTGTCTGTAAACTGCCTAAGCTGGTAAAGCTCCTGATTTGTAATCATAGCGAGGATTTCCATCTGTTTACCAGTTTGCAAACACTACAGGGTGGAGACCTACATTACGGTGGTAATGTGCAATGTTTTCTGGTTATATTCAGATTAATGTTAACATTTCAGTATTGGACAAATCTATTAAACTGTGTTATTTCTGAAACTTGTGATGAAATGAGTCCAACATAATTATATCAGCTTGAACTGTGAAATAAATGCCAGAAAATTTTTTTTTTAATTTTGAGTGTTTGTTGAACCCTTCTGATGAAATGTTTTCAAAAAGATATTCAATTTAAATTTTCACATACAGGTATTTAAATTTGTATCATATTTGCTACATCTGGCAACAAAAAGTCACAAAAGTAAAAAAAAAAAAAAGATCAAATATGTTACACTTGGCTTTACAGGGCTAGTCATCAGCCACACCTTGAAATGTGGAGGAGGATGTATTCTTAACAAAGCTGATCCAGTAACTGTATATAAGAAAAGCTGAACATCCAGAACACCACTACAACAACCTCCTTGAGACAATCTGCTGCGGCCTTACAACTTAAGGTGATTAAATCTTTACTCTTAGCATTTCTTGAGTAAGGATTGTGAAAGACATTTTTTTTTTTTTGCTTGAGTGAATTTGTCATTTTAGCATATCTTATTGTCTTTAATCTTTTTTCAACAGGTACATTAACTGAAACAATACTGAAAGTACTTCTGCTTGGATGCTTCCTGTGCGGGACTCTGGTTAAACCTGCAAGTATTATCATAAGTGATATATTAGCAGATATTATTTTAATATGCAAATACAAGTAATACCACACTTTGGATGATGGTGAGGGCACACGGACACTATGAGGCGAGTGCTTTCTTTCGCCCCCACATTCAAATCACAGATGAACTGTAAAAGCTTTGGGGGGGTTTTTCTCTCTACAGATCACCAACAACAACAATATCTCCCTGCAGCAGCTTCTCTCTGCCCTCCTACAAGCACTTGCTACAGCTACTATAACAGCTGCACCCACTATAACTCCCTGAAATCATAAAGGAAACTAAATTTCAATGAGTGGTTTTAAGCCAGCATTGCTTTTATGAAGCCAGCACAATGTTGCTTGTTTTGCATTAGATTTCCTCTTTTCCAAATTGAATCTTGATTTTTTTATTAAATCTTTCTGCTCACTATTGTGTTAAGTCACTGCCAAATAAAGTTCATCACTGAAAATCTGACTCAAATTTTTTGTATTTAATTTTTACATACACCTTTCTATTTTTAAGCCCACAAGTTTTTGTACACATATTTTTTCATTTTTTCTCTGTACACAATCACAGTGAATTTTCAAACAAACCATCAAGATAATGTTGAATTGCAGACTTTCAGCTTTAGTTCAAGTGTCTTTAGAAAAATACTGCATTGACTGTGTAAGAACTACAAATACCGATACCTTTTATCTGTAGACCCAGCAGCTCAAAAATAGCTGGATGAATTGACATCATTTTATATACAAACATTATTTTTTATACTTTGATGGAAATAACACAAACCATAAGCATCAAAAATACTGGTTCTCTTCAGATTTTTTTTTAGGCCTTTAGGAAAAGTCTTCAGGTTCTGCTTCTTTGTGGGTCTCTTTTTCTTCAGTTTTGTCTCCAGTATCTGCTGTGTGGGTTTGTGTTGGGTGACTGACTTGGCCATTGCACCTCAATAAATGGACAAACCAGTGCTGTGTCTACTCATTACCAACGAATGTGCAAAGAACTAATGATTACATTGTATCTGTAGGCACTTTGTTACTAGCAGTCTAGCACAGATACAGTTAATTTGTTACTATTTCTTTAGTTGAATCTACGAACAACCACAAAAAAGAACATAGTTTGACAGGCAGAAATTTGTATTTTTGCACAAATGAGTTGATTCCCAGAGAACGGTTACAAAAAAACACACACAAAAAAAATAAAACCTCCGGGTAATGGCGTTTACTGGGTAGACGTGCTTTAGGTCCGCTCCACTACACGGCTCAGCATTTACCTAACGAACCTACTTTTTTTTGAGATTTTGCTTCCCAGTTTTGGATGCCTTTTGCTTTTGTCGGTTACCGAAGATTTAAAGAATGTCTAAGTCAAGGGGCAAACAAGACCGAGAAACCTCGACACTTGCGGCGCCTGTAACTGCAGCCGAGATTAGCTTAATGCTCGAGGAGCATAGAGCTGCATTGCTAGCGGACTTCAAGTCATCCTTTGAGGACTTGTCCTCTAAGTTAGACACTGTGCAGTCTGCAGTGCAGGACCACGGTCAACGCATTGATTCTTTGGAATCGACATACACTGAATTTGACCAACGTCTGGACCAATTAGAGTCCGAATGCTCTATGCTTCGCAAAGACAACAACTGGCTAAAATCCAAGGTGGCAGACTTGGAAGGTCGCAGCAGGAGGCAGAATATACGACTTGTAGGACTACCTGAGGACATTGAAGGCCCACGCCCGACAGCTTTCTTTTCTCAACTCCTCGTCGATGTTTTTGGAACGCAGATGCTTCCCTCGCCGCCCGAGCTGGACAGGGCGCACCGGAGTCCAGTTCCGAAATCGACGAAACCACGGCCGGTCATTCTGCGATTTCACCGGTACCAAATAAAAGATCTTATAATCCGGGAAGCTCGTAAGAAAGGCGAGCTCAGCTACAACGGCCACAGGATCCGGCTATATGAAGACTACAGCCCGGAGGTGGTGAAGAACCGAGCTGAGTATAAAGACGCGATGTCTGAACTTTATAAGCGGGGATTTAAACCTGCGCTCCTCTTCCCGGCTAAACTGCGCATCGTTCTGCCCGCAGGGGAGAAACAGTGGTTTACGTCTGCTTCGGAAGCCGATAAGTTCGTGCAGGGCTTGAGGAACGAGGCTGAAGCTCAAAGGCCACAATGACTGACAGCTGCGAGTAAAGTGACTTGAATCCTTGTTGACTTGCAGGCAATCGGACGATTGCAGAGAAGGCAGGCAAGCACTACATGTTTCT